TTTTTCCTGTTTTATGGGCTTGGAAAAGTTTAGACATTAACATTACTGAGTTTACCATGTTCAATGTCAGATTTTTGTTATTCTCCTTTAAATGTTGGGTTTTATTGCTTGGAATCAGTGCTATTCTTTTCAGGATTGTTTTCAGGATTTGAGGTACGAGGGTTGAATAAACTTTAGCTCAGGTAAATTTTTTTCCATTGCTGATGTGCTATTCTTTTGGTACTATATTTAATACCCAGGTGGTAGGAGGTTATTCAACTCTGTTTAATTGAAATTTAAACTGTTGCTAGCTTCTTTGAGTTTGAGGATTATTTAGTCTGTTCTTTAAGGGGAGCTCCACAGATTTCCCAGGCCATAGGCAGGGAGCTGGTTGGGAACAGGAACAGCTGGGACAGGAACCAGCGTCTACATGGGATCCTGGTGCATGCAAGGTGAGAACTTCACCCACTAGGCTACTGCAGCAGGCCCCTCAAGCAGTTTCTTACAATCATTCACAGATCAAAAAACAGCCTCAAAAATTGTGAGGTAACTGTGATGACGAAAACTCCTGGCTCCTGGCTCCTGACTTCAGATCTGCTCAGCCCCAGCTTTTCCTGCCACTTTGGGAGTGAACCAGAGGACGGAAAATCTTTCGCTCTATATCTCATTCTCTCTCCTTAAATCTGTGTTTTCAATGAAAGTAAATAAATCCAAAAAAGAAAATAGATTCATAATACAGTAGCTCAGCAATGTGAGGTGGTCATAATGAAAGTAGAAACAAGAGGGGTGGCAGGTGGGACATGTTACACACTAAATAGTAATTGTTGAAGAACGTCAAGGAATTCCTTACAGTGGTAACCATATCTGAGATAGTTCTTGAAAAATAGTGTAATAATAAGGGGAGAAGACATAAATAAAGTAAAAATAAATAAAGGGTTTTAAAAATCCAAGTATAACAATTTGCAAGATAAAGACAGCTTTACTGTGAATGAAGGACAGAACGTGGTTATATAATCAACAAATGAGTAATATTACAAAAGTAAAATATTGTTATTACAACTCTGAGAATTGTTGCTATTACATACATATATCACTGCATATATGGACATTAACTTCAGCGATGCTGCGATAATCAGAGTAAACTCTAGGCCATCATTTTTATAACACAGATGAAATTAATATTTGTGCCAACTTCCAATATCCACATTTATCTACTATGAGATCTTCAAACATTCCATGAAGCTTTTAAAAAATAAATATTTGAAATAACTCTAAGAAGTAAAGAAAATATCATATTGCATTCATTATTTTAAGTGAATGTGCTCCATTGACAATAATTTCTCTACATCCAGAGAATTTCATTTTTGCCTTTTGGTTCCGTAGCACTTAATGGAATATAGTTTCAAGCGTTCTGACGCAAATTTTGGCCTAGAGTAACTATTCTCTGTTTGTAATCTCTATGTACAAGGGCGTCTGTTGGGCTTAACCCTCTTCAGAAAATAAACCTCCAGTCTGTTGCTGCACGGCAGAGGGAGAGTCACCTGTCTGTATAGAGCCACAGAGCTGTCTATGGATGCAGCTGCTTCCCAAACATTCAGCCACGTCTATTCAGGCAAAACGCCTCCCTTGAGTAGCAGAGGTCACGGGAAACAGAGGTCACCCACTTCTGTCTCTGGGCAGGGAAGTGAGAGCAGAATTCCCTATTATAAATCACACTGTGTTTCTACTTTTTAGATTACAGTCTTTGCCTTTCAAATAAATAATTTTTGTTTTAAAAATCTGATATTGCTACATTGTACCTTCAAGAGAAAGCTGCAGCATATATGTGTTCAATACTTCCACTTCAGCTGGAAGCTGTCTGGGTCATTTTTTTAAATATCCATGTTTGTGTGCTTTAACATGTACATAATAGATTTGGACAATGATTCAAATATCTAATAAGTAAGTGTTTACACATGACATTGCTAATTTCAAAATAATTTTTCTTCTTACAGATAATAATGTATGATTTCAAAGGTTTTGAAATCTCTGTGCTGCCTGACATTCAAATGGTGTGGTCCTTGGTGTCTAAGAGCTTGGCTTTTGTTCCTTTTTTTTTATTACTCCCCCAAGGTAATCTCTTTAATCCCAACATTAATGATCCCAAAACTTATACGTCTAGGTCTGACTTCAACTTAGATCCAGTTATCCAGACTCCCACTTGATGCTGCCACTTGAACATATGATATCTTAAATTAACATTCCAAACAGAAGTCTTGATTTTAATACTGTTGATGCCACATCTCATACAAATTGTACCTTACTCAGGCCTCGGGTAGCCAAAATATGTATTAAACTATGCTCTTCTATGATTCCTCAGCTAGACTTTATAACACAAAGCAAAACTGAAAAGATTACTGTTATGCTGCTTTCATTCTGGATGCAAAAGGGAAGAAACAGCAAACAAAAGATAAGTGTATGTCTTGCATTTGCACTTATTTATCTAAACTAAGGTCTTTGGGGAAAATTTAAGCTTTTAAGAAGAGTGGATTTTAGTTGGGTAAGCATAGATATATGCATCTGTGTTTATTCTTGTGTGTGTGTGTTCTTTCTTCCCAACTTCCGGGATTTTGTCGTTAATATCTCCTCTTTAGTTCTCCTTTTCTTTGTGAGCTTGTAAGCTTACAATACATTTGTTAACTGTCACTCAACAGAATTTGAAGAAATTCATGTGTTCACTCCCCCACCTTTCTCTAGAAGTTGAATTGTTGAGGGAATGTCTGAATTTGATATTCATGCAGAAATCTGAAAGAACTGGGGAAGTAAGCTATGCAAATATCTGACAGAAGAGCATTCCAGATGGAAGAAATTGTAAGCAGAAAAAAAAAATGTCCTAAATTAGGAGTGTGTTTGCTGTGTTCCAGGACAGTAAGAAGTCTAGTATTGCTGAAGTGCAGCTGAGGTTGGGATGGAAGGGGAAAGCTGTTAGAAAGGAGATCGGAAAGGTGGCAAGGTGCCAGATCATTTATTGCGGGCTGTAGTGAAAAGTATAACTTCTATTCAGAGAGAGATATGGGACTGTTAGAAAATTTAAGCAGATGTTATAAAAATTATGTTTTAAGGGGATGGCACCATGGTATAGAAGGTTAAGCCTTTACCTACAGCACAGGCATCCCATGTGGGCTCTGGTTCTAGTTCTGGTTGCTGCACTTCCAATCCATCCCCTCTGCTTATGGCCTAAGAAAGTAGCAGTGGATGCGTCAACTCTATGGGGCCCCTACATCCACATGGGAGATTCAAATGAGGCTCCTGGCTTCAGATCAGCTCAGCTCTAGCCGTTGTGACATTCTGGGAAGTAAACCAGCAGATGGAAGCTCTCCATCTCACCTTCTCTTTGTAGCTCTTTCAAAAAAATAAAGCAAATATTTTTTTAAAATGTTTTAAATAAATTATTCTGACTGCTACATAATATCACATATGGAGACAAAAGTAAAAATAGGGTCATCAATTAGGAGCTGTTAAACAAGGGATGGTGATACTTTGGATTAAAACGGTGGCAATACATGTGTAGAAAAATGATAAACTTCTGAAAACGCTTTGAATTTATAACCTATAGAATTCAGTATTGTACTGGACAATTTAAAAGTAAAGGACTTTCAAAAGTTTCTGATTTGAGCAAAGCTGAATTATGGTGTCATGAGATGATGGATTCTAAAGGTGAATCAGATTTTCTTGGGTTGAGAAAGAAGAGCTGTTGGACATGTTAAACTTTAGATAACTATTAAAAATCTAAATTGTTCTGTCCCAAGTTTTCTTCTGATTCCAACTTCCTACTAATGAGTACCCTGGGAGGCAGAATATGTGAGTTTAGGGTCTGAAAGTAAAGTCATATGGAATATACTTAATGGAATTCATCAGTACCTATATTATACTGAAAGACCTAAAATTTGGTTGGTGCAACAAAGGAAGGCCTTTAGGTAGAAAAGATGAAGAGCGTCAACAACTAAGCTCTGGGGTACTGTGATGGGTAAGATGGGGAAGAACAAGCTGAAGATACTCAGGGAAAGGTGACCAGTAAAACGGAACTAAGACTGGATGGGGCCTAGAGGACAAAAGAAGCTAGCACTTTAAAAGAGGGCCTGATTGACTTTAGTAAAGGCCACTGTGAAATTGATTGAAATCAAGACTGTGAAATAGTTATGTGATTAACCAGTTTGGATGCAAAGCTGCAAGGGAACTAAAGGTGTCGTGACATGGTGGTTGTAAAGTACTGGGTCATCTCTGTAGATGCACTCTGCGTCCCTTAATTAACTCTAGTCAAAAACCTAGGAATCATCCTTAATTCTTCTTTCATTTTTTTTTCTCGCATTCCTTCCATCATCATATCCTATAATTTACAACAAATCTATAATCTGTCACCTTTTCTCACTCTCCATCATCAACACTTCAGTCTAAACATTTGTCTCTGTTAGTACTAGTGTTTAGACCATATAACCAGTCTTCCTATTGCCACCCCCAATATTTTAAAGTATCCTTTAAAATCCCAGAATTATCAAAGAATTTATGTGAACTGAAATATTAATTTATATGGTTTTAGCATCCACATTGTAATGAGCCTTTAAGGAATTCCTATTTGTTGAGCTTTAGTATCAAAGACAATTTGATTATTTAAAAAGTCCCTTCCAAATATACCTTGGTGTGAGAATAGATTATTTTCATCTATTTCAACCCAAGCAACATATCACAAAAGATTACATGTAGAAATAGATGTGAATATACTGGTATCTCCCATTGATCATTTTGGGATTTCAAAGAACACTTACATCTAATTTTGTAATCCCCTGCTTCAGTCATCTGGAATGCTGATTCACTAGTTTATATAGATTTTTCACAGGTGGGTATTTGTCTCTTCTCAGTTGGCAAGATGTCATTGGTAATTCTTGCATCCCATACTGCAGTGCCTGTATTTGAGTCCCAGCTTCTTTTCTGATTCCAGCTTCCTACTAATGAGTACCCTGAGAGGCAGTATGTTGAGTCCCAGGTTCCTTGCTTCAGCCTAAATCAGACCCAGCTGTTGCAGGTGTTTGATGAGTAAACCAGCATTTAGAAGATTTTTGTTCTCTGTTGCTGTCATTCCCTCTATTTTGAAAAAAAAAAAACAGAAAGAGTAAGTTGAATAGTTGAATGCTGCCATGTTTTATTATACAAAACCATTATCAAAAATTATATATGTTTTGGACTCATCAGAAAAGTAGTGAATTGAGAATTTTCAAAATTCTGAGTTTCATTTGAAAGTTTTAATTTTTATTAGGACTAAATATTGCCAGATATTTCTTTTAAAATGACACAGTTTTTTACATTGTCAAGAAAGAATTTGCAAAAATATCTATATCTAAATAGTCACAGGTTGTCAGCTAGTTTTTTTTTTTTTAATTACTCAAAAGCCTTGTGTGTTTGTAAGGCTTTCTGCCTCTGTGCTTGCACCTTGAAGACTGCTGACACAATTTTCTACTCTTCATAAGGTAAACACACTCAGTCCTGTCATGGACCCGCTTAATATAGATGGAGCCACCAAAGGCCCTGCTGACATGGTTTTTGTTTGTTTGTTTGTTTGTTTTAGATATTCTCATCAGAACATAAAATCTCACAGCATGGACCCCTTGACTTGTTCTTGGGCACAGGCCACTAGTAGGTTGTGGTGCCTTCCCAGCCTTCTTAGTTCAACAGTAAGCAGTTCTGCTGCGGGCAGTTTGGGACAGTCTATTTTTGTTGGAGGCTGTATTGTAGGAAACCCCATACCAGTAGGTCGAACACTGGACCACTTTGACCATCTCTGAGCACTGACCCAGAAGAGGAACAGTTGTTCTTTTGAGTAATGATGTTCCATTAAAAAAAAAAAGTAGCTGGTTTAGAATTTAATCAGTTGTCAAGTGGTTTTCCTCAAAAGGAACACGATACTTTAGCATACACACTTTCCATTTTAACAAAAATGTCAAAAAGACATATTTAACAAGTTTAGATTCAATGATATGATTTCTGCTTGCTATAAGAATAACCATAATAAATTGTCTCTTCACAGGTGGATGTAATTTATTTACTGTGGTGTTCACTTCAGTGGCACATCTATTAAAATTTCTTTACTTTGGATTCATATCAATGACAGACATGATGACCATTTATTTGGGCAACTGCCCAAATTCATGCTAAAATGCCAGATTTTTAACCACCATTGGTATTACACCACCCATGCAAATATCAACAGCAGAAAAAACAAACACATTTTAGAGTGTTATGAGTATCATTCTTATCTCACAGACCCCCTAGAAAGATCCATGACATTCACAAACCCTGCTAGAATACATGACAGCCTGGTACGTGGTAGCAAGTCATTGGAATTTTTATGGAATAAATGAGGAACTGAAATTTTCTTCTAAAACTTATTATTATTGATTCAGCAAATTCTTATTATAAAATAATTAAATGTTACAATTCATCATACTGTTAGAAGCATTTTATAAGAGAAGAAATACTCAATCAGAAGTACATACCAGTATTCACCTGTGCATGGAGCTATGTAGGTATTGCACAAATAAAGTTAAATGGACTTTCTTGCCCTCAGAAATGTGTAAGTGCTACAGACATAAAGACTACAAGCAGGCCTGATATTGAACAGGTACATTAAATTACTTAATGATGTCAATTTGCACATGGATAATCACACATTAGATAAAATATCATTAATGCCTAAATCCTCTAGGGAGAAAATCTAAAACCCACTAAATGACATTAAGGAACATCTGAATAAAGAGAGCTACATTTGGATGGAGTAACTTCCTAGCGCAAAGACATTGACTATATTGCTCTATAAATTCATTTTAATCTTGCAGCTATTAAAGACAAATAAATGAATATCACAACATAAGAAAACAAATGAAATAGAATAATGATTGCACTGTAAGAGAAAGTTCTAGGATGGAAAAATGGAAAACATAAATAGCTAGTATATTATCTCAATAAGTAGAGAAAAATAAGCAATAACTAAAGCAACATTTGCTGACATGGGAAAATTTTATCATTGGTATTACTAAGTAAAGCATTATGTGAAAATTGGAACTCCTTTAGACTTGGCTGCTGCCATTTGTGTGAGCAACTTAACAGTAATTGCAGGTGCCACATGATCATCTGATCCTGCCCCTTAGGGGAAGAGAAGAGAATCTCACAGAAAAGAGTTGTGTGAGATAATGCTATTTCCTCATAATACTGTTTCTTGAACCAGAAATTTTTAAGCAAATTTATGCCCTCTTTCATATACGATAAAAGCTATGAATGCATACCACTGGAAGCCACACAACTTTGAAAACAGCATAGATTCTAAAAACATAGTATTTGTGAAATAGGAAGAGGAGAATGAGTTATATTCACTTAAACTCAGAAACCACAAAAGTGTGGTAAAATAAATTCCACAATACATATACATTTAGGTACATACTCTAAGCACATTATAGAACACAGAAAAATCTTAATTGCTGTTTTGATGCTCAGATGAATGAAGAGATTGTGCCATGAACCGTAGTCTACACTGATCTTTCCTTCATCTTTGAAAAAGAAAGAAAGAAAGAAAGAAAGAAAGAAAGAAAGAAAGAAAGAAAGAAAGAAAGAAAGAAAGAAAGAAAGAAGGAAAGAAAGAAAGAAAACAAGCTACATATACTACTTTGTGGTAACAGAATCACATATATTTAGACATGGAAAATTAGAAAAATTGGCTGTCTACTCTTATGAATAATCAGAGGAATAAGCCAAACAACTGTAGAGTTCTTGAAGGCTAAAAGATCTCAGTAACTTACCTTTTCTAGTTCCCTAATTACAAGTGTAGCCATTTCCTGGCCATACTAAATTTGTGTCGATTTGTGACACTGATTTGTATCCATTTTCCTTTGGAAAAAATCACTAGCAAAGGAGACTTCATCTTTTAATAACCTATTTTAATATTTTAAAAAACCTCTTTATGAGTAAATTTTTTTATGTCTGTAGTATATATTATCACATTTTCAAGTCATTTCTGAGAGAAGCATAAAAACTGGTCTACATTTTTTAAACAACATTTCATTTATTAGGAAGCAATTATTGTTTCCACACTAATGAATTCCAATGCTTTTTATGTTTTCCCATGGGTCTTATTTATTCAAGACTTTAATCATATTGTTAATTTTATCTGAATTTCTCCACTTCACAAACACTGCTCAAGGTGAGGAGACGTAAACTAGGTACAATTTTAATTTCACAATGGCCCAAATTGTGCTTAATCAGGAGAGAAACAATTTCTAAGTAAAGTTTCCATTAGTCTAAAAAAATCTAGAAATTAATAAATCTTATAGCATTTTATTTGTTTATTTTAACAGTTGGAAAGGTGTGAAAAAGCAGAGAAAACACCTTCATTTTTGCTGTGTTCAGCTAATAGCATTACCTGCTGCCTTTTGGGGTACACATTAACAGGAAGCTGTAATAAGAAAAGCAGCTATAAGTTGAATCCAGGAGCTCCAATAGTGGATGTGGGAATTCTAAAAAGTGTCATAATCATTGCGCAAAATGCCTGCCCCTCTTTATGAGTTTAAACTATGGTATCCCTTAATTGTATAACTGCTACTAATGCAAAGCACTTCCTTAATTGCTCTTTCAGTCACACAGTAATGACAAGAAGGATGTCATGATTGTTTTTGCTTAGATGAGTAATGCAAAAAATCAGAAAGGTTAAAATAATCTACAGGCAGTCACTGACCTAGTAAATACATTATGAGTATGCAGAGGATTCAAATTGATGGCAGTATAGAGTAAGAAAATGCTCGCTTTGTTGCTGAAAGGACTTGGATTCAGCCTCAAACTCTTTCACTGACAGTGACGTGACCAAATATGGACAATAATAGTGCTGACGTGAGCATTATGGTAGAGGTATAACAGATCCTATAAAGTTGGATTATCACACTTTCCTTGTTTTGTTGAGATGAATACATCTATCTCTAAGATGTTATTCTGTGAAAACTTGTCTTTTCCGTTCATAAATCACTGTTTCATTCTTTATATAATTATGTTTCTTTTGTTGTCATTAATTGTTTGATTTTGCTTCCTGCTGCACCTAGAGCGACACTCCTTAGTGTTTCTACTTTTTAGCATAATAATTTTAAAAATTACAAAAATCAGGAAACATTTAATGCAACAATTGATCCATTATATTACATAGACATTCCTAGTCTCAAAACACTTACTATGAGTACAATAAAAAGCATCAGATATTTGTACACTCTTATTTTGTGGTTTTGAAGCAGAAGAAAGATTGAATGATCACACTAACAAATATTTTAATTTCAATATAATTTTTACAAGTCCACTGACTTTCTAAACCTTTAAAAGTACTGGAGAGCAAAATTTTAGGTTGTCAGTGATCAAATATTCCAATTCTCTGATTTACTTAACATAATCATAGTATTTGTACCCCACATTTTTCCACCTGGATTGCCACGAAGTCTTCACAGATGGTAAGCAATGTATAAATTTTATTTTTAGTCAATGTGGTGAATGTCTGAAAGTATCTTCCTAACACTTTTATTTTCCTACAAAATGCCCTCATTTTATTCACATAATGAATATTGGTCCAGGGCCTCTCTCGATACTTCCAGAGATTCCTGAGAGGTAGAAATCTGTATCTCTGATCAACTTAGGATTTGAGTCCTCAGGACTTGAATTACATGAGTTTCTCTTTTTCCTCAAATGTGACAAAACTGATAAATCTTTCCTACCACCCTACTAATAGTTCCTGAAACTGAGATTAACATGGCTGTAATGTCTGCTAAGCTGAATAAGTTACGTGCAAAAGAGGAGATTAGAAGTGAGCAACCTGGTAAAAGTAACATCAAGTTGGCATTAAAAAAACTCATGCATCACTGGAATATACTTGCATTTTATCTGGTGAGTTTTATAGACTACATGGTCAAGGCATCAAGAACAATCAGGTGAACTTAACAATCTGATGACTTTGCTTTTATTCATGCTGTGAGATATCACTATATAATAGCCATTGGCTGTAGAGATTATTTTATATTGGATCAGGTTCTTGACTCTTACAATATGCTGCCATAACTGTCACA